ACGACCACTTCCATCTTCTCTGGTTATTAGGTGCAGTGCAGTAATGGTGAGCGTGATACCGATAGGTTGAACACTGATGACAGCAAATCACTGAAATGATTCTGAGAGCAGTCACTGATCTGATCGACACACTTACTGCTTACTAGAGAAGTTCATCCATCGTTGTGAAGGATAAGTGTAGCGGCAGCATATACACTCTGTATGGTCTGCTTTCACTGTAAACACCTGACGAAATGCGCACCTCCAAAACTGTATCGAAGGAACAAGCGTTCCACGATCGGTTCGTAAGTTGTAAGGTGGTTTCTTCGAATTTTGAAAAATATTGGGGAGAGCCAAAAAATGTGGGAAATTTCCTCAAAATGTTTAAAAAAAGTCTGCGGAAAAGTTGGTGAAAACATAGAATTCTCTATTGCGGCTTCTCTGAAAATTCCCCAAAACTGATAAAATTCTCTTAAAATCGGGAAATCGGGAAGTAGTGGATTTTGGAGATATATTTGTGAAGTAGTTCGTTTGTCAAAAACTGCGTGATTTAAGTTCGAACCTCATCACTCCTGACTTCTAATTTGACTGGGTTGGAAGAAATTGATTATAAAATGTGTTACTTGTAAAGGCGTTGTTAAACTCAGAATAATTGTGGTATGTTTAGAGCTACTTATTTTGGGGACATGTTCCCACCACAAGTTTATGGTGCGCTGAAAGTCTACGTTCCATGTAGACTTATATAAACGTCAAGAATATGTTGTGTTACACAACCCTTTTGACACGACGAAGCATCCGTTAAAGAATTAGTCCTCAAAAATTTCGTAAATTACAGAAAATTTATTTGATATTCCTACGTATAAATCACTGCATTCCGTATATATTATTTTTCTTCCCTGTCCGCCCTACGTGTTCGCTCTTTGACTGCGATTAAGTGAGACGATCAGTTAAAAGTAAGAGATCTTGACCCGTAAAGATATTCTCCGAACCACCAGTGAATAGGCTACCTCATTAAAATTACAAGGTAATGAGTTTTTGATGGTATTTTCATTGTGATGTCTAGCTAGCGGAACGATCAGATAAAAGAGATGGTTTACTGAACTCAGTATTATCCGTTACAGAAACTTCTGAATTTAAACTTTATTGCCAATAGGAAGTCAATACCATAATGATGACCTTGGCGACATTTTAGTTTTGTTGTCACTGTTCGCGATGATTTTTATAGTTAAATATAAATAAATTCTACGTGCCGATTGATTTGTTGGTCAGCCTTTTTCTTGTTCTTTTATCGAGCATTTTTCTTACAGTGCTCTGCACAGTCTCTCTAGCGTCTAAAGTACCTTCAACTGAAGGTTAACCTTCCTCGAGCTTTCAATTTTGGGGAAATTTCGAGGAACTTTTGGAAGATCTTGGGGCATTTCGGGGAAAATCCCCAAATTTAAATGACATTGACCAAGTTTAAAGGGTAATTTTGGGGAAATATATTCAATAATTTCCCCAGGTCTGGGGAAATTTTGGGGTTATTGTGCCATTTTCCCTAAATTTCCCCAAAATATGCCGAATTTTCCCCAAAATTAGGAGCTCGGGTCGTGACTGTGTTGTGGACCAGTTTCTATGATTTTGCAAGGCTCTCGTGTTTCTTAACATTATAGAATGCCTTAACTGCTTAGTTATATTTTATTCTTCAGTGAGGCGGACGGAGAACTAATTGATAGTGTGGTCAAGTATAAATGGATCCTAAAAATGCTGTGCAGTATTTTTTATGTGCTCATAGGCGCCTAAAAGTCATTTAGAAGTCGATAACCACTCTTATATTGATCAGTAACACCGAAGGGTCGTAAGCTAAATCTTTTCAACACAATATATATATATTATTAATAGTTATCACTTAACCCTGTTCTCATCAAAAAGGTGAAAAGAACAGAGTGACATCTCTAACTACCTTTTGATCATCGGTCTGACTATGCTTTAATGGTTCAAATGGTTCAAATGGTTGTGGACGGAATAGAAGAAGCTTTCGCTTAACAGGCTTCCGTGTCTAGTAGCAGGGGATCACCAAATCCTCCAGGCAGGAACCTAGGTATGTTAACAATAAAAAAGGAAAAGAAATTGGTGAATCATAGTGTGATGCTGTCCTTGGTCCTTAAGAATAGGTCGAGTTGCCTCTTGAAGGACTCCTGAGAAGTCGCTTGGACTAGCTCGGCCGGCAGCGAGTTCCAGCTTTTGACAACTCTTAAGGAGTAGAAGTTGTGTCTACATTCCGTCTTGCTATGTTGTGTTTCCAGTTTTTGGGTGTTACCCCTTAGGTTATTATTCCAACTAAGCTTAAGTAGGTGTTTAAGGGGGTGTCCAGAAGTGTTAAGAATACTATAAGCCATTAATAAATCACCTCAAAGACGTCTACACTCTAATGGGTAAAGGTTTAGTGAATGGAGGCGCTCTTCGTAAGGTTAAGATTTGAGTCCTCGAACTGATTTCGTGGCTCGCCGTTGGATACGCTCCAAAGTGACATTATCCTTTTGGAGTGAGGGGGGGGGAGTACTATGTTTCCGTACTCTAAATGGGGACGGATGAAACTATTGAAGATTGTGTGGAAAGTTCTTCCGTCAAACTGGCCAAAAATGCGCCTCAACGTTACCAGTGCAAGGTTTGCTCGGAAGGCATTTTTGTCACAGTTAGCGTAAGACTTTAAATCATGGGGCACCAGGACTCCTAAATCCTTTTCGACTTGGGATACTACTAGAGAGGAGTTTCCTAAGTTGTAACTGTAGTTTGCGACATGTCGCAGATGGACTACTTCACACTTTGAAGTGTTAAAGGTAAGTCCGTTATCGTCTGCCCAACTTTGAAGTCGAGTCAGATCCTCCTGAAGTGCCTGTATATCGTCTTGGTTGCGTATCTCTCTCCAAAGTTTCACGTCGTCGGCAAAAAGTAATAAGTCTGACGTTACCTGTTGAGGAAGATCATTTATGTAGATCAAGAAGAGAAGAGGCCCTAGTACTGAGCCCTGGGGGACCCCACTAGGACATTCCATAGCTTGAGATAAAGTGAAATTAACCCTAACTTTAAAGTGTCGATTTTTTTAGGTATGAAGTAAGCCAGTCGATTAGAGGTGGTTTGATACCTAGTCGTTTGAGCTTGTTGATAAGACACAAGTGGTTAACCTTATCAAAAGCTTTTGAGAAATCAAGGTAAATGACATCAACCTTTCCCTTGCAATCGAGGATGCTTGTCCATCTGTCCACCGCAGTCAGCAGGTTGGTTATACAAGAGTAACCCTTCCTGAAACCACGCTGTTGGGGTGAGAAGAAATTTAAGGACAGTAGATAGTCGTTTAAACCGTCGCATATCAGGGACTCCATGAGTTTTGAAGGTAATGACAGAAGAGCCACCGGCCGATAACTTGAAGGTTCATTGCGTCGACCACCTTTGAAAATTGGTGTGATGTGAACCAACTTCCAATTTTCCGGTAATTTGCCTCGGCTAAGCGAGTGTGAAAACATCACGCTAAGCGGCGTTGCCAGGATTGAGGCTGCCTCCCTCAGTATGGCAGGATGAACCATATCCGGGTCAGGAGAAGTGTCAAGTCTTAAGTGCTGCAGTTTCCGGAACACCAAGTCAGCGCTTAGGTCCACTTCAGAAAGTCCTGTGGAATTGCAGATGAAACTGTCGTCAATAAAGTTGATGTCAGCCGGTTGAAATGTTTGAGAGTAATGTGCCGCCAGAAGGTTAGCGGCGTCGCCATCATTGTTGGTCGGGCCGTTAAGACCTAGCAGTTGAGAAACTCCTGTTTTGGCTTGACGAAGAGAGGCTGTGTAACGGAATAGGCTTCTAGGGTTAGAGGCGAATTTGTCCATAAGCTTTGTTTGGTACTGAAGCCTGTCTTCTCTTATAGCCTTCGTGCATATGTTCCTGATATGTTTATATTGCCTATACGCTCCATCGTTATTAGTTCGTTTGTATTCCGCCCAACAGTGTCTTTTGCGGCTTAGCAGGCGAAGGGTACGGTTCTTGATTACTGTAGGTGGCTTGCAGCTTTTGGGAACCGTTTGAGGAACTGAATGGTCTGTAGCACATAAGAGCGTGTGCAATAAGAAGTCCCAATGACCATCCACATCGAGTTGAGGGTGAACATCCCAAACCACCTGTTGTAGATAGTCATGTAGAGCTGGCACATTCAGCCGTTTAAAATTCCAACGCAAATTATTGTTGGGATACCTTAGCTTAGTTTTGATGAAGAAACTGAAGGCTATGACGACATGATCGCTCTTTCCCAGAGGAGCCAGGATTGAGAGGTTGTCGACTAGGAATTCTTCGTTTGTGAATACACAGTCTAAGCGCGATGGTGTCTGACTGTTTCTCCAACGAGTTGCCGACCTCACATTTTCATATAAGTCCAAGTTATCGATGAGGTTGAAGAACCGAGCTTCAGTTGAGTTGTTGCCTCCAGTGTACGTGTTTTCCGCGAAGTTGACTCTAGGGAGATTAAAGTCCCCTAGAATCAGGATGTGTGTAAAACCGAGACGAGTAGAGCGGGATAGCCCTTCCAGCATACGACTATCGTACTCGATGTCGGCAGTTGGCTTCCTGTAAATGACTCTGACTAGACACCTCGAAGTACTAGACAATCTTACAGAGCACCATATGGATTCCTCAAGATTGTTAAACTCGAGGTTGTGAACCTGGTGCACCTCCAAGCAAGAACGTATGTATATGGCTACTCCGCCCCCAATTCCTATTTTTCTGTCGTTGCGGAACAAAGACATCCCAGGTAATGCTAACTCTTGGTCCGAGAACTGAGAAGATATCCAGGTTTCAGATATTCCTATCAGATGGGCCTTATTAGCGTTGCTAAGTTCACGTAGTTCATCCAATTTGTTTGGTAGACTCGCGGCGTTCATATATAAGCAGTTTATGCTTTCAATTTGGAACGCGTGAGCTTCGTCCTGTTTTTCTGTATGAACCTTACGTGAATGGACAGGTAGCCCACCTATATGAGGTTTGCCGAGGTGGTAGGCCCTGTCCTTTACACGTTTTTTTTATCGTTTAGACAGTCCACAATTGGAATGGTCAGCTCCAACTTGCCTTTGTTCTTGGTCCTGACTTCGTATGGCCTATCCGAGTGCATGTGGATTTGACTTATGCCTACAGTGATTCTAGAAGAACATCGAGCCAGGTCTCCCGGTGGTAGACTTGTGGAAACGGCTAAATATTCCTTAATTTTCAAATAAATTTTGATATTATTTCTAGCTTTAGTAGTTAGTCGATAACGCACACGTCGACTTCCTAATGATGTTAGGTGATATCAATCAACGTGGGTAGCGCTGACTCAGGTGTGGCAGCTCTCTGAATTTTTTAAACATGAGGTGTTTCATATTATTAAATTCTTGTTTCGAGGTCTTCATTTGTGGGATATCCCTCGGTTTTAGAGTTTCATTGAGATTACTATTCTTTTTTGTCCTTCGTCAATACTCCTACAGGCTTCACAGTCTCATGACCTTTCCAAACTGAAGATCAATGTGATTTTCATCTTGAAGATTTTCTCTCCCGCCTTACTGATGAGGTTTGACAACTTAGACTTTTATGTATTTAAGCCAGGTTCTACGTTACCGTTAACTATATATGAGCAATAACAGTCCACTTTTTTTTCAAATTGTGTTTTCCATTTCACTTTCCCATTTTCTAACAAACGACTTTTTAGTTGCATCATTAAATGACTCGATCCAATTATTATGACGAGATTTCATATTTAATAACACGGATCCATGAATGGTAAGTATACACTTTTTCAGTATACTGTTCATTACAAGGATTTATTAGCAGGGAAAGGCGCATGGAACTGATGAAAGCATATGCTCTAATTCAACATACTGACTCTTCTGGGTAAGTAAAAAGACAAACGTAATGATCTTAGGTTTTTGAGGAACTCATGTCTAAAATATAATTTAAAACATGGAAGATTTGATTATTTGTCAGTGATTCTAACCTTCAAACCATATTCAATAACAGCATCGTTCTAACTAGTGTAAATATTGAGGCTTTTTATTAGGGAATCACAGGAACCCAATTTCCTATTTTCAGAGAATCGCTATTAAGAAGTTTGGGGAAATGGTAAAAAAAACCCAAAATTTTGTTAGTTCCTCAATATTTCAGGGGTTTCCTCAAAACCTCATAACACTTTGAGCAAATGTCTATATTCATTGATAAAACCCCAAAATATTGGTTTTTTTCCAATATTTTCGACAACTTTGGCGAAACCCATTTACGTTCTGTGATCGAATCCCAATATCTTTTCGCATTTCAGGGACATTTTACATGATATTGAGTTTTCTGCTATGCCGTATTCGAAAAAAACCCACAAGATTATCAACTGTATAGAAATGCCTGTTGATTTAATAACAATTACCCAAAATTTACTACGCATCTATCCATTTTTTTAAAATTAACTTCGCAAAGAAACAAGGCAATTAAACCACAGTCGGTAACAAGAACTCGCCTATGATGATAGATAAGCATTGTTGTTGTTAAAAGAGTAATGGGCTAATGATATGGTTTATTTGAATTTAAAAAGTACAAATGATTGTACATTTACGATTTGCGTCTTTCATTTCTTAATAGTTGTTATTACGCTTCCGTTTGCTATATCAGGTTGATGTTGAAATCTTCTTGAGTGTTCTACAAAATAGGGAATGGTTACTCTTCTGCAAACGCAGTATGAAAACAACTCGATGGCTAATAGTACACAAACAAATTTCCAATGCTGTGGCAATCATCCGACCTATGAATCCATAATGTCATGTGAGACGTTGATTACGTACCAGTGGTATAACATTAATGTTTGCTGAATTTAAAACTCACAGTTAGGCGTGTGAGCATTTGTGAAACCAGCTGAAAATAAGATGGACAAGAAATTATTAATTCAGTATAAATATTTCAGTCAGTCAGCTACAACGTGCGACCAGACACATATATGTCCCTAAATGCCCTGGGACAGCCGAGAGTGGGAAGAGTCAGCTCTCCTTCTCGAAATTTACTCACGTAGTTTCATGCATACAGCCACTGACAGGAAAGTCCTACTCACTGCCTTCTCACGATGGAGAGTGTGGTTTACAAAATTGAGAAGACGAAAGGCGAATGTTTGACGCTTTAACCAGGTTAATGGATACGGAGAATCCACTTAGGGGAGTTGTAAAACCGCGATTTCCAACCGATGGTGCACATGGGCTCTAGTGTCCTGAAGGAACAATTGGTGTGTGAACAAATTATTGGTCACCCGCTACCATGAAAGAGCATCTCCTTACGTCGCTCCACTGCCTTGTGCATTAGACCTTAAGGTCAAAGGCTCGGGGTGTGGCCTCTTAAGAAAACCACCTGCTTCGGTTTGGGTGCCCGATAAGTATCCTATCCCTCACACAGACCGAATGGTTTATGTAGCGCGCATCTGATTGGTGCCTCCTTGTATCGATGCTCACGTGATTAGGTAAGTAAATAAATAAATAATATATCGGTCCAAGCTGTCACACCTCATTAGCACAGCAAGATGGACAGCGGCTTCATAAAGTAGTTAATTCAATGTTGGTAATATATAAAAGAAAGATTGCATATAAGGATATAGTACAGGAAGAAAGAATTAGTTAATAGAAAGAAAAATATGAAGCGATTAAAATCTGATAGTTTAAACGAAGACAGAGAGTGTATACACCTACGCCATGGTGATTGATTCTGTGTCATGTTACCAAGAGTCTCCAACCATTGGTTACGATAGTCACGCGGACCCCAACCAAGTAGTCTGCATCTACCAGTATGGTTAAGACTAGAAGTTAGTGATCCCAGCAGATGCGAGCGATATTTCTAAGACAAGTGTGATCAAATACTAGTAACTTGCTAGTAACTTCCACTCGTATTGTCCACATCTCACTGCCGTAAAATAGGACAAGACGAGCTGCTTCGCAGTATACTGGTCCCTTAATTGATAGACGGATATCTCGCCCTCGCCAGAGGTGACGTAAGTTGGGAAAAGCCAAACGAGCTTTTCGAATCCGTGCTGAGATTTCATCAGACACCAACTTATTAGGGTTTATCGTACTTCCGAGATAAGTGAAGTTGTCAACGCGTTCGACCACTTCACTCCCAATCCTTAGTTCAGGTGTTGACGCAGGCCAGTCTTTAGGCAACAACTTGTATTTAGAGAGAGAGAAGCGTATCCCAAACATCCTGGCATTGTTGCTCAGTGCTATCAAAAGACTCTGTATTTTATCAGCATCTTCACCAAACAGGACTTCATCATCTGCGTATTCTAAGTTGATAAGTAGACCTCCATGTAGGAGATCAATTCCTGAAAATTCGGACGACGAGAACGTTATTTCCATCAGTAGGTCTATTATGGAATTAAATAGAAATGGAGATAGTGAACAGCCTTGTCGGACACCAATTGATGTTGAAAAACCAAATGACAATTCGCCATAAGCCCTGACTCGAATGGTAGTGCTCGAGTAAAGAGCCCTCCCAGGGTTTATTTACTTGTGAGGTACACTTTTCAATGACAGACACTGCCACAGAACCTCTCGGTTCACAGAGTGAAATGCTGCTTTTAAGTCAAGAAAGGCCACCATTGTCGGGCACGATAAGCATATCTGTGTTCTAAAATCTGAAGAATGGTGATTATGTGGCCGACACAGCCACGACCAAGTCTGAAGCCAGTCTGGTTCTCTCGTGTTTACAGTTCACGAGTCTTTTTTAGATGCCCGATAACCATCGACGTTAGTATTTTAGACATTATATTAGTCAAATGAATCCCTCTTTGATTGTCACAGGATGATTATGGTCCTTTCTTTAATACTGATCATGTAATCATAACCTACATGTTTTGTTTATTTGATAGATTATCACTTCTATCCACCTTATATTTACTTTCTGTTAATGAATTTTAGTAGACATAAAACACCGTTTTTATATTTTTTCTGTTGATATGGAGAAGTCTCCTTTGGCTTTCTCAAATCATCTGGAACTTTCATTCTAAATTCGATCAACAAGATTGAATCAGTAACTGATGTTAGTAATAAAGACTTACGATTTTTTTTTAATATTTACACTGGAAATTTACAGGAAGAATTCACTTTCAAGCGAAATGATCCAATATAACATAAATTTGAAAAGAATAGATGAAAACATAAGAAAAGTGGAAAGAAGACATGAAGTCCTGAAATGTCAGTTCGAAAAAATTAAACAAAATGCTAAAGAAGAATCAATGTTGGATGTGAATAAAATGTTGAATCATTCGTTTAATAACCAAGAAGTTAGTTTGATTTGTCATATATTTGTCGTATATTTATTGTTTGTTAGCACTTATCATTTACAATAACACCTTCATTGTCAAACTTAGGTAACAAAAACATCATCATTAAGAGAACAATGAAAAGCATTTTTTAAAATTACAATCTAATATGACAGTAAAACAGAAATTTGTCAACAGATATCATGATAAAGTTCACTCTGAATGTTGTAAGAACAACTTAAGAATATCAAACTTCTAGACATTATTTTTCCTACGAAATATTTATCATACAGTAGATTAGATAAGCGATTGATACTTTAGAGTGCAAGGATTTCAGTAGAAATATAAATGTTCGTAGATAATTCTACTGGAACAGCAGTAGTTAGTTTTCGGTAGGAAATATGAATGTGCTGTCAGTTTATTTCTAAATTATCTATAAATAAAGTCAATCAAATGATATTTAACTATCAATTTTTATTAAAGATTAATGTTACGTATTCATACACAATAATTTGACTGTTCGATAGAGAGTCAAGTATAAGCTAGAACAAGAGTTCAATAACAGTGTGGTGGACCAGACAATATACGAACTCAAAAAGTAATAACAGAGTTATTAAGGACAAATAGTAATGTTAATACATATAAGTTAAATGTTATAAACACAATAGAAATGAGGGACGTTACTTAGTTCACCAGGTTAGTGCGTGTTCTGATTTGATCTGGTACCAAATATCCACAATTATAGATGGTTGGTAATTCCAGTAAGTTTGATGAACTCCCCAGTGATATGATCCAATGTAGGATATGATATGTTCCAATTACAGTCTATAAATGTAGATAGTATTTGATTTAGACTTCGATTAACACAATCACAAGTGAATGTAGAACGAGAGGTATGTACGCAACAATGTATTTGTTAGCAGTCAATAGTGTGTCATTCTATGAAGTTACACAACGGAAGGAAAGTGTGTTCAAGGTCATACACATAAAAAACACGTACAATCATTTAATGATAAATGTACATACAGTGAAAAATTGACAAAATAAATACAAATAACATCAAAAACTATTTACAAAATAAACTTGTCAGGCATATCTCCACAACAAAAGATACAAAAGATTAGATCGACACATCACAAAATAAATCGTTAATTATATATGATGCAATGAACATACCTTTCTGTATTCCTTGACGGATCACAGATCACTTCAGTTAAATATGTCAAGTAGAACTAAGTTTCAGAAGACATGTTTATTTTACATGAAACTAGTCATTTAAATTTGTCTGGATTCTAAATTTATTATTTCTCTTAAGATTCAGACGAAGCATTAGTCACTTTGGATACTCAAAAGTTTCGAATACATTCAACTCACTTTCGAGACTAGAAATTATATAAACCTCCTACTTTTTGTTAGTTAACAAAGAATAATGTTATATCTGTCATAATTCAGTAGTTTAATAAATAGTGCTTCGTAGATTGAATCAACATGCTATTAGTTTTAACTTCCTTGGAGAAATCATCAATATTAAGATTCGAGTACCTTCTAGTTAAGAAGTTTGAATTATAATTCATAGTGCACTTCTAATGCCTATTGAAAATGTTATCTATATGCACATATACATTGTGATGGACCAAAAATAATAATCAAGTTGTTATGTCGAAAAAGTAATGTATTACTACGTTAAATAATATTGGTTAGCGTTTTATTTAGCGAGTTAGTTTTCTACGGGATGTGATAGCTAACTCCATGCCTAACTTTCCTCCTTTATCCGGGCTTGGGGCCTGCAGTAGCTCCAGAGGAGCTCCAAGCGGAGTATATAAAAACTAGTAATATAAAACTAGAAAAAATTACTGGCGTTTATTTAAATCGTCAGGACTTGAAGTGTTTGTGTTACATTTGGTATAATAATCCACAATTATCAGTAATCAATAATTCCAGCTGCACATCCAGATCAAGTATATAATGGAAATATTTATATGATCTGTAAATTTAGATAATAAATGCATTAGAGTTTATTTATCATAACAACAAAAAATTGAGAACGAGATACATATATGTGTAGCAGTGTATTTGCGATCGGTTATTAATGTGTCATGCTATGAGGGAGGGGGGATTCAAAACGAAAGAGGAAGCATTCATGATTATGAGATTTTAGCCAATTATTTTACAGTCACTTATAGTAAATGTACAAATTATGAGAATTATTGGATGAAATGCAGATAGTATCATAAACTAATTACACGATAAGTTTGTCATGACTATTTCTATAACATAACATTACAGTATTTATTTAAATATTCAATACACTCCAATAGAGATTATTCTATTCTATGTTAAAATTGATTAAAAACTAACAAACAAGTACAGAAATACAGAAATAAAGTTTAAGTGTTATGCTTATGAAGTTCATTTGTTTCTCAAGTTTGAGTCAAAATATGCCATATTAAACAATATACTTTTTAGAAATGATTAAAGACAATTTAGCAAAGAAAATTTACCACAGATTGAAATCATAAGTCGATTGAAGCTAGACCACGATGGGAAACCTGGAAGCACTGGACGGCCGCTTCGTCCTAGTATGGGACTCCTCTGCAGTGCGCATCCACGATCCCTCACCCCGCGAGGTTCGAACCCAGGACCTATCAGTCTCGCGCCAGGCGCTTAACCAACTAGACCACTGAGTCGTCATCCAATGTCGATAATGTATAACTTCAACCAATCCACGAGACTGATAAGTCCTGGGTTCAAATCTCGCGGGGGGCGGGATCGTGGATGCACACTGCAGAGGAGTCCCATACTAGGACGAAACGGCCGTCCAGTGCTTCCAGGTTTCCCATCGTGGTCTAGCTTCAATTGACTCATGATTTCAATCTGCGAAATTTCTAAAATCTCCACAAACCTCTTCTGAAAAGAACATTTATTTGATGAATATAACATTTACCTAAGTTGTATAATTGTATTTATAGTTAATTAGCAAATAAAGTAGTCTGTTGAAACAATGGACGATAGAATGTCATCCGTTTTAAGTAGGTTGGCTCTTCACACTTTGATATGAAAGAGATATTGATGAATATGTTTCTAGATCATATGCCATAGATGACCGAACAAATAATCTGAAGTTCTACTATACGAAAGGCAGATAACAGAGTCTAGCCGAATAGAAAAAATATTGAATGGCTACACTTCGTGATGTGACATCATTACCCAAGTAGTCAAGATTTGAATTAACTAATAAAAGTTATACGCGATAGTCTAACCAGTAAACGAGATATAATGGAATGGAAACAATCTTTATATATGAGAGGGGTGAATGAAGATTGTTCATTTGATCGATATAAAGAGATAAAACAGAAAAGAATCAGTAAGTATTTGAAATAAAAAGAGAGGATGGGATCATGTGTATTGAAGAATTGGACTTGCCACTTTTAAACAGTATTGGTCTGGAGAACTACTAGAGCATCTACTGTGCGTAGGTTACTGAACCGTATTCACTTCGCACTAGTTCGATTTCCATTATTTATCTTTTGAAAGTCAGGCTGATCGTTACTTCAGATTGAATTTGTAAAGATCATCTAACGCCATTATTGACAATTTTCACTGCTCACATATCTAGTGTATAGTTGTAAAGCTATGTCAAACATTAATTGAAACTAGTGAAAACTGACCCAGTAGTTTTAATGATCAAGCGTTTTTCGCGACACCTGTTTGTTCTGAGTTCTATCCCTGGTCGGGATCGTGTAAAATCTAATACGAGAATGAATCAGATATCCAGTGCTCCCTACTCTTCAATGTTATCTCAACTGAGATCAATCTGTGACGAATACAATAGACAAATTAAACCAATTTTTATGAAACCTCTCAAGATAAAAAAACAGTCTTCCGTTTTTTTATCAGCTTCAACAGGTAATTAAAAGAACAAAACAAATTTTAGATGCACAAGAAATAACGTTGAAATCTATATCATTTAACAACAACGATGACGATGAATATGATAGTGTTGATAACAACATAAAACATGAAGAATTATACAAATTATCGTTTATTAACCAAACCAGGATCGAAACACCACAAAAAGATGGTGATTACAACAAGGAAAAAAATGACAAAGAGCTAGGGGAAGATGAAGAAGAGAAAGAATTGGGACAAAGAAGGCAAATCAGGGAGATAACAGATGGTGTTGAATCGTCGAATCAAGTTGTCCATAAAATTAGATCTCCAATATTTTCGGAAGATCCAAATTATTCATCTGATGATTTTTATAAACAATCCAGATTGTTTGATTCAAATATTTTATTGAACAATCATAGTGATGATGAGAAATCTAACAAGAATAATAATTCGCAACATATGGTCATAGAAGAAGGAGAAGAAAAAGAAGGCGAAGAAGAGGAAGATGATGATACTCAAGAAACAGAAGATGAAGACAATGCAGAATTAAAATGTGAAAATGTTTATTCAACAGATCCAAATAAAAAGGGAATAATTCAAAAAGGTAATGTATAGCTATTGACGGATGAATTCGTTATTATTATTATCTTTGATTTTAAACCTAGACGATAGTTGGAATATTGATTGTTTAACCAGTTAAGGAATACGATTAATTGTTTATTATTTCAGTTAGTTTCTTTTCTATTTACATGGATGCTGAACTTATGTGTAGATTAAATGATAGGTAAACTGTTTGGTAAAGCAACAGTTGAAGAATTGATTTAGATATAAATCCGGCTATAATGTTTACAGCTAGATGACAACCTATCGAAGCTTGAACGTTGAACTCCTTAAGGTTATTCTGTTTCATTAAGATTGGAACAATCAACTTAAGACTAGACCCAAGTTTGTATCGGTTCCAATTCTTATACTTCACATCAGTAAAGCTATAAAGAAGCATAAGAATGGAGCAGTATTAAATACAATAAAAATCACAATATATGAATTATGTTTAACGATCAAAAAGTCAAATTGGATAATGGAAATTTTGTGAACTCACCAAACTCATTTTAAACAAGGTAGAAAAAACGAATATAAATGCACTACTAAGATCAATTTTGGGACATTTCACCTATTCTCTCCAATTTGGGATTATAAATATTGTTCCGATTCTAACACAAAAATCCCCAACTATTGATACTAACTCAGTATAACATGAACATGCTCATTGATGCTGTTTTTATTGTCTCACTCTTGAAGGTTTTTCAGTCTGCTCATATGATAGTCATCAAATGTATAGGTAGGTGATAACTAGTCAAGCACAACAAATGTTACAACCATCTTTCTTAAAGAATGTTGATAGGCCCATCAATCGTTTACTATTCTAAGTAATGTCCTAGAAATAAACTCAGCATTACTTTAACAGACAAGAACGGTACTTTAGTAACACAAATAATCAAATACTTCCCACCTAAATAGGAGAAAAGAACACTTGATTCTATAATCATTTATGAAACACTAGTATACTTGTGTTTCACACGAAGACCAAGCTCAAATAATAATGACTAATTTGAAATCGAACCTTAGTTTGTTATTAGGTATTGGGTCTTAATAGTCATTAGTAAACCTGGATCGACAGCCTAATAACCCCTCTAATTAAATCCTGAATTGAATAGAATGACCACTTCGATCACATATTCCCGTTTTCTACAAAAAATGCAATACCGTTGTATCTTTCCTATTTCAAACCAGAATTCTACTTAATGGTAGGTGAACCATTTTTGTATCATACCACAAATCGGCTTAATAATAAAGTTAGACAATCATGAATTGAAGAAGCGGACAGGTGAAACAGCTTTAGATGAATCCACTACCTAGTAAGCCATCATTCCGAATGCTGTTCCACTTGATTCTAGTGAGAGGAGAAAACTGTCAGAATAATAGGGCATATATATTGATAGACAACGAGGAACTTCTTTGCATTATTATTACCATTAGGATTATTAATGATTATTACTGTTATTTCTATTGTTCCAATCACTCTCTTATTTATGCTTAATACTGTGTTATAATGTGCAAGTATTCCTATCTTAATGAATTGATCTGGAACTATAGATTAACATGTGATAAGTCATTCTATAATATTGCACATGAAATTATTGTTCAAGCAGACAAATATATTGTGTATCATACTTCTATACTTGATGATGATTTCCTAATCACTTTGTTAATTCAAATACTTTGCTTGAGTTAACAATACACTAAAACAACCGGAAGGATTTACATTTTATCAATTAGATATTTAAGTAGTTTGAATGGTGTTTTTTCTATCCATCTAGTTTTATATGTATAAATATGTGAATATTTAACATTGATTACCCTGCTATTTTAACTATTCACTTATCTCTTCTCACAATTAATACACATGAAAATCAGTTATCTTTATCATATTTAATTCTAATTCAAAACTTCAGTTATCAGTTTTAACTGATTTCATGAATATTGATGAAAATTCACAAGTATTATAGTTGGTGAAGATTTAGAGTAAAAATGTAGGAAGATCATGAAGAATTTAAGCATCATAATAACATGATTATTAAATAAGTGAACTATTTTTCTGGAAACATTATTTCTTCTCAAAATAGTCTCCATTTGTGACAATACAATTCATTAACACTATTCAAAGCATCTATTCACATTGATATAGAATAGAATAAATGTGTCCAGTAGTGGAATTCAGGATACTCGTTTCGTCCCGTTTAAAACTCATCAACTAGATATACTTGCATCCTAGAGTTAATGTTCACTGATGGACCAGGACACAGTAACATTTGCTTTAAACACCACCGCGTTATTCACTTAGCTACTGAATTCAGAAAGTGAATTACTTTTGGAATGGGTATGAGATCTTAATTCTATTTGAAATAGTTTAAATTACCTCGTTGTTGATATTTTTAACTGAAATTTGATCAGTCTGGGTTGGTATAGATGCATTCTGTGTGGATCGCTATAGTATAACCATTATGACACAAATTGATGGGATGCAGAGATCACATTTCTTGCTATTTCGGACTCGTCATCTATATCCCAAAGACGACGCGCACTCCGGGATATTTAATTTACTCCATATCCACTTGCATCATAATTGTTATATTGGAGCAACAGGGAAAGAATGCATATATGCCAACTCAGACTGATCAAATTTCAATCAAAAATATCAACAGTAGGATATTCCATACTGTGTCAAATAGAATCTGTTTGCATTGTTTGAACTATTTACCAGTAAGTCCAAAGTTGATTGTTTTAATCTTTAATTCCTTTTGATACTACTATATATTCAGGTAAATATAATGTTAGCTACAAATTGAGAAATCTACTCAATCATCTCATACTGATAATTTTTATCTTCTAATATTACGTGATTTTATATGGGTCTAATCTAATGCGATTTCCTTACTGACTACATCCAACCACCTGAAATTTCAGCATGGTATAGTCGATTCAATTAGACTAGTAGCCCCTGTGCAATTAACTAGCACAGAACTTAAGTTAAATGCTTTTGCTTTAGATAACATCTAACCACTCAACGATATGTAAGTAATTTATAATATAAACTATTAATTATTAAAGAAACATTGAAGTATTGGATATCTGTTTAAATCTAATTCGAGATTAATAGACTAAAGACCATATACTCTCAATTCCATTACAACCATCATTATTACATAAAATAAGCACTTATAAATATGCTGAAATATTTCACAAATTCATTTTATTGAAAAGAAAAATACTCATTATACATTTTTTTTACTCTTTGAGTATAAATATTCAAATTTTTCAGGCTTTTTTTCCCCATTGCACTGAATAATTACAGATAAGAAGAATGCAAAGCTAAGTTTAAGTTAGTGACTAGTTAATCAACAAGAAAACCCAATAATTTAATCGTCAGCAATGTAAAACCTAGTACATACGTGAATCAGTACAAGTTACTATGCGGTGTTAATATAATCAGATAAACTTATTCATACAAATGCTTAAATACTTACTTACTTACTTACTTACGCCTCTTACTCCTCGTGAAGGAGTATAGACCTCTCACCAGCATTCTCCATCCAACCCTGTTCTGAGCAATCCTTTCTAGCTCCTTCCAGTTGTTATTCATCCTTTTCATATCTGGTTCTATTTTCTGACGTAATGTGTTCTTTGGCCTTCCTCTTTTCCGCCTTCCTTCAGGATTCCACGTTAGGGCTTTCCTCGTGATGCAGTTTAATGATTTGCGTAGTCTATGTTCTATCCATTTCCATCGACTTTCCTTAATTTCCTCTTTAGATGGAAGCTGGTTTGTTCTCTCTCACAAAAGGCTGTTGCTGATGGTATCCGGCCAATGGATGTTGAGTATCTTGCGTAGACAGCTACTTATAAATACTTGCACCTTCTTGATGATGGTTGCTGTAGTTCTCCAAGTTTCAGCTTCGTACAGCAGAACTACCTTGACATTCGTATTGAAGATTCTCACTTTGATATTGGTTGAAAGTTGTTTTGAGTTCCATATGTTCTTCAATTGTAGGAATGCGGCCCCTGCTTTGCCAATCCTCGCCTTTACGTCTGCATCTGAACCACCTTGTTCATCGATGATGCTTCCCAGGTATGTGAAGGACTCTACATCTTCCAGAGTTTCGCCATCAAGTGTGATTGGATTGCTGTTCTCCGCTTTGAATTTGAGGACCTTTGTTTTCTCCTTGTGTATGTTGAGGCCTACTAATGCAGAGAGTGTAGAAAACTAACTCGCTAAAAAAACGCTAACCAGAAAAATAATTCAACAAATGCTTAAATGGTATAGAATTATGAATAATATCAGTGGAAGTAGAAAACATTAAGCTTAAATGATATGATTCGAGAAGAAAAAAACAATAAATTTTCAGAAAAAAAAGTGTATTAAGATAATTTCCAAGTCAGAATAATCTAATCTACACGTGACTAAATCCACAGTCTTCAGGTCATATGATAATCATACAAACATTACATTACAAGACCAAAAAAGCGTATGGTTGATTAGTTATCAATTTGTAGTCATCGTTACTGATGATTTGTATAACCCAATATAAATGCTTTTATTTTATAAACTTATTTATAGGTATATCTTGGTGTATTCATGAATTGTGACACCTTATAGCAGCACATTAAGCTAATCCTTGTTTATGCGGCAATATTAAAGTTTAAATATTTTCATTGATAACATGATCCGATCAGTGTTAGACCACCATTGAAAATCTGGAAGCACTGGACAGCCGTTTGGTTCTGATATAGGATAGCACAACAGTAAGTATTACAATCCTGTATGGCAGAATCGAACCCAGCTCCTTCGGTCTCGCACGCGAACCCTTAATCTCTAGACCACTGAGTTGGCTTCCACTGGAGTGAGGCACACATTTCGTTGTGCTAGGGACTCGTTAGCTGGATTTATTTGCATCCCAGACTTGATGATCACTCCGAGACTCCAACTCACGCCGTTTGCTTCAAATGCCATTGCGTTATTCACTTAGCTGCTGGTACATCCGGCTGATGACTCCCAAATAGAACAAATTGAGCGCCCTGGATTTCACAGTTAGGCACCATCCATCTCTGCTTAAAATTGCTTGTGACTTAATGATAATATCAAAGCGATCCACACAGGGTGCACATATACCAAAGGAGACTAATTGAATACAATTTTAAGCAACAACGGAAAGATTCAAACAACCAATATATTTGAAGTAAACAAATAGTTTTTCATTAAATCACTCTACTTATTTCATATTTTTACTAATTAACTTTACGATGGTTTAGGTCAAACTTATGAAGCATTTTTAGCAAAAGCAACATTCAGCATTGAAGATTCAACTTATGATCCAGTTAATGAGTCCAATGAACATGAATCTGAATATGATTCAAAAATATTAAAAAATAATGTGAATATAAATGAAGATATGAGAGCATCAAATAAGTTATTTGGTATGTTTATTTACATAAATAGAAGTTTACATTATAATTTAAATTGTCCGTTTTATTGTAGTAGTATAATTTTATGTAAAAATTCATCAATAAAGACATCATTATAAAAGAGTAATAAAATAGTTTATTTTATAATTAGTTTGGAATGTTAAGTGAAATTACATAGAGAACTATTTAAACCAAATACAAATCAAAATGTTTTACACAGATATTTCGTTTTGACTCTGAGTCAGTCAATCAGTCAGCTACAACGTACGACCAGCCACATATACGCATAGGTTCAAGTTGACATACCTCATCAGCAAAACAACATGAACAAAAAATTCATAGAAGTAAATAATTCAATGGTGGTAATATATTAAAGAGAGATTTCATATAAGGATACAATACAGGAAGAAAGAATTAGTTCATAGAAAGAAAGATATGAAGCGATTAAAATCTGATAGTTTAAACGAAGACAGAGAGTGTATACACCTACGCCATTGTGATCGATTCTGTGTCATGTCAGCCAGAGTCTCCAACCATTAGCTACAATAGTCATGCGAACTCTGAAATTATTCACTGACGCTAGTTCTTGATATCAAAAGACTAATTACTATTAGAATACGCTTCCATAAAATTAATTTAATCGAAAATAGCAATAAAGTTAGTGTCGTATAGTAATGTAATAATTTCTCATGTAATTAAGGTAATAATGTTAGATGATTCAGTATTTGTAAGAGAAAGGATGAAGTTTGGAATAGGGAGCTCAAAGATAGAAGTAATATTGTTCCAGTTTGTATTCAAATGAATAAAATCGATAGTATAAAGTTCGAATGTTAACAAGTTTGAGTCTAGAATAGAAGTAAGTGATTGTGAAGAGAAGTTTGTGTATTTTTATGAAGGAATATTGAATAGTGAAGAACAACAGAAAATATAAATTGATGACTTAATATAATTACATAGAATGAACTTAAATTTAATGATCCAAAGCAATCGAACCTATTTGGCAGTGTATATATGTGAACTCAAGATAATCTAGCAATCGAAACTGAAAATTGAGGATGATAAGTTTTCAAGTAGGTTACAGAATTGATTTCTTTTTCTTAGAATAATGTTTGACTATAGATATCTAAGTTTTTGATACAGACAAAGCTAACCGGTGTTGGAGATGGTTGGGAGAAAGTTAGGGGCGGTCAAACCAAAACGTGGCATCAGTGCTTGATGTCAATAACTTCTAGTCTGAGCCATGTTGGTAGATGAAGATTACTTGGTTGGGGTCCGCGTGACTGTCGTAACCAATGGTTGGAGACTCTGGCTGACATGACACAGAATCGATCACAATGACGTAGGTGTATACACTCTCTGTCTTCGTTTAAACTATCAGATTTTAATCGCTTCTTATCTTTCTTTCTGTTAACTAATTCGTTCTTCCTGTATTATATCCTTATATGCCATCGTTCTTTTATATATTACTGTTGGGGACGATAGATCCCCAAACTCATATTTTGAATTTTATCGCATCGTTCAACTTATTGATTAAACGTTTAAATATTTGTATTGGAGTCAATTGATGAACTATCGATTAAATGCGCAAATAGGTCAATTAATGAACTCATTGATTAATGTTTAAAATTTCCTATGACAATATCGATTGTAAATAATTGTATAAATACGCTTGACTTGTATGCTTGATCTGATCTGTCTGCCTGACTGGTTATCTGCTGTTTGTCTGTAGAATACACTTTCTACACCTTACCCAGACTTCTTGATCGAGTTAGCAGAGTTGGGGACAACGGACCAGAATAGTCTATCGAGATTCTGAACCCTTGATTCGATCGATAAGTCACTGTCATATAATCGGATCTCTCTTTGAGCCATAACAATTGGCGACGGGGTAAAAAAAAAGAACAATCCAAAGTCAGCCTTCAGCATCCAGATTTGTCATCAGTGTCCTTCAGCAACATTGGTCATTAATCAAACAGTAATTTGCATTACCGGTGCTGAATAAAAAAAAATGACTCTCCCTTCCGATCGAGTACAGCTGCTATTTGAAAGACAGTTGGAGTTTTTAGTCAAATTACGCACGCAGCTGTTAAATCACTCATGCTTTGGAGATGCAGCGGAAGTGGATGGATTGATCTCTCAACTGCACACAGAGCTGGAAAATGATTGCAGCCCCAATGAATCCTCGATAAACCGTATTTCAAACGGTACAACAGTCACTCAAGATTCGCCCAGTGGTCCAGTCCTCTCCATTCCAGAAACATGCCCGGTAATGGACTCAAACTCCATTATCCCCAAAACAGCATGTGCAGACGGTGACTTATCCAGCTCACAAACACACTCCCTGGTAAATCCTCATAGAATTGTCGCAATAACCACCCATGAAACAGAAAACAAATCGAGCAGTGCACTGAATACAACTGCTTCAAATGGTTCTCATCAGTCTGCGACAGATGTTTTTGACAAATCTTATTATCAAGATTCTCTCTTACCAGAAAATATGTCAGATGCATCAAATGATGATCAAAAACTTAATACAATTTTGATAGATGCTAATTACCTTGATGATCGATTATCTACAAATAAGATTCCAAATAAATTTGGTCACAATATTTCAGAAGAATTAAACTTCGAACACCTCACATCAAGTGTTGTTCAGCCTCAAGACTTAGTCACTTTCAGTCAATTCTCTGTTCAGTGCGATAAATATGTCTTAAATAAATTCAAGTTAATTATAACGTGGGCATATGAGGATCCAACACTGTTTCGTGGAGGAGGATGGACCTGGAAAACTTAAAATCCGGATATCAACTCCGGATCTTCTAAAAAGGGGAGGAGTGTTGGGGACGATAGATCCCCAAACTCATATTTTGAATTTTATCGCATCGTTCAACTTATTGATTAAACGTTTAAATATTTGTATTGGAGTCAATTGATGAACTATCGATTAAATGCGCAAATAGGTCAATTAATGAACTCATTGATTAATGTTTAAAATTTCCTATGACAATATCGATTGTAAATAATTGTATAAATACGCTTGACTTGTATGCTTGATCTGATCTGTCTGCCTGACTGGTTATCTGCTGTTTGTCTGTAGAATACACTTTCTACACCTTACCCAGACTTCTTGATCGAGTTAGCAGAGTTGAGGACAACGGACCAGAATAGTCTATCGAGATTCTGAACCCTTGATTCGATCGATAAGTCACTGTCATATAATCGGCACTCAATTTGAGCCATAACAATTACCACCATTGAATTATTTACTTCTATGAATTTTTTGTTCATGTTGTTTTGCTGATGAGGTATGTCAACATGGACCTATGCATATATGTGGCTGGTCGTACGTTGTAGCTGACTGACTGAATACATACTAAAATCGGCTACGGGAACTATCGAAAACCGTGGAATTAATTGATTGGTTTTCCATTCTAGATAGAAACTGTCTTATATTTAACCTCTTACGTAATAAAACTTATCTTTGTCAGCCGGCAGATACTCATGTGAACGTTCAATAATTCAGAAGTAATTCAATACTAAGTATTTTCGATACTGTAATATAACTTAACACGTTGAGGCTTATGTACACTATTTGGGTGTGCAGGTCAGTTGTTCAAAGAGAAACAGGCTCATTACAGTTTGGAACTCGAAATTATTTGCTGATAGTCGATTATTTTAATCACGACGCCAGTGTATTAATGATAGTAATAAGCCATTTATTAAGTCAAGGGTAATGTGCTAGACTTTAAAATATGCATTTTGAAATAACGCTACTGAATACACACGACAATAAGTCTCCGTTTAGTCGTTGTAAAATGTAAACAAATAAACTTGTAAGACTAGTTAGATGTCAAAATTTTCGATATGAACCTGGAGATTCTATGTTGACTATTTCTTATGGTGTTAACTGTGAAAATTACTGAAAAGTCGTAAAGCTATTAGTAGAGAAATTTTTCTCAACTATATATGTTTGTAGTTAGGTACCATTATAGCTAATATGGATTTATAAAAAACCAAAATATAGTGGTGTTATTAACATGGAATGTTTGTTGATAATCTTTAGTTTGACGATAGTTTGCATCAACTTCCTCAAACTTTCAATGCTAATGAATGCCTTATACTCACCGATAACTAACTTCGAAGAAAATTCATAAGGCCTTAATACGAAGCCGCAACCGGGTGGAATCCAGCTATTTCGGGAGTCAGATAGTTATCACTCATGATAAACACTACTACACAACCGTAGCTTCTATGGTGGTTTAGTTTGCCTATCGTAGTGACGAAATCAAATTATGTTGACTGGAATACTCTTTCTTTTAGGTCCTAAAATACTGGCCAGGTCTGTTGGAAGATAAACTGAGGAGTAAAACTTAAGGTTCGAGAGAAAAGTTGTACTTTAATTTCTAGTAAGATGTGACTTCAGTAAAGCTGATTTAGTGGTCTAAAAATAATGTGCTCACTGCAAACGTTTTGGATTGATGAGGAAAAAAACAATGGTCCAATGCTTTGTGATTTTCAAGGAATGTCTGTCTAAAGTATTTTCATAAAGTGTAGACTAATTGTTAAGAATGATTATTTCGGTACTAATTACTGGTCTTAGCGTTTTTGGTTAGTGACAGACTCGTTCGAAGTAAAGAATGGTGTCAGGCAAGGTTGCTTACTCTCACCCTTTCTCTTTCTCTTGGTAATCGATTGCATCATGAAGATGTCAACATCTGAAGGGAAGCACGGGATACAGTGGACAGCTAGGATGCAGCTGGACGATCTAGACTTCGCAGATCATCTGGCCCTCCTATCAACGACCAGTGTAGCAACAGCCTCAGCAGCAGTAGGTCTCAATATATACAAAGGGAAAAGCAAGATTCTCCGATACAACACAGCATGCACCAATCCAATCACAATTGACGGAGAAGATTTGGAAGATGTAAAAACCTTTACATAATTGGGCAACATCATTGATGAACATGGTGGATCTGATGCAGATGTGAAGGCACGGATCGGTAAAGCAAGAGCAGCATATTTACAACTGAAGAACATCTGGAACTCAAAACAACTGTCAACCAACACCAAGGTCAGGATTTTCAATACAAATGTCAAGACAGTTCTACTGTATGGGGTGAAAACTTGGAGAATTACGAAAGCAATCATCCAGAAGATACAAATTTTTGTTAACAGTTGTCTACGCAAAATACTTCAGATCCGTTGGCCGGACACTATTAGCAACAACGTACTGTGGGAGAGAACAAACCAGATCCCAGTGGAGGAAGAAATCAGGAAGAAGAACTGGAAGTGGATAAAACAAATTGAGAAATAAACCTAACTGCGTCACAGGGTAATCCCTCACTTGTAATCCTTAAGGCTAAAGGAAAAGAAGAAGACCAAAGAACACATTACTCCGAGAAACGGAGACAGACATGAAAAGAATGAACAATATTGGATAGAATTAGAAAGGAAGGCCCTGGATAGAGTGAGTTGGAGAATGCTGGTCGGCGGCCTACGCTCGATTGTGAGTAACAGGCGTAAGTAAGTAAGGAATTATTTGTCTTCTCAGAAGTTTGCTTTTCAATAAACTGTGTGGTTTTCTTGGCTATTTTAAATGCTGTTTTTTTAAACAAATGGAAAAGATAATCAATCACTTTATTCTTCAATTTTAGATTCAACAAATGCTAATCTACTTTCATCATGGACAACATATAAAACGGAAGACTTAGAGGATGACAGTTTCTATGATTGACAAATAAAATATGTCTATATAATACATTTCTTCTTTGTTGGGATAATGATGATAATATTAGTGAAATAACGCTCGTATTTCTCAGTACACAGACACTAAATTGCTTAGGATGGGCAATGAATAGTTTGTTTGCGTATATAATTCACTCGCTCTATACTACATACCTATTCAGCACTATTCTTCTACGACGCCTCAAAATAACTCAAGTTAAGAACACGCGATCCACCTGACTAGTACGTGTATTGTTTAGCAATTATCAACCTACAATGCAGTAAGTACACGGGTAGGGAAATACATAAGACATATCAATTACTTATCAGACTATCCACCAATCTGCCTACGACAACAATCAATCACTATTTTCTTTCGATCAGACAACAATCAGTGTGCGTGAAATTTTTATCTCATGTCACAATGTTTAGTGAAAAGTAAATTATATTGTAAATGAACAGATCAATACAATTCCAGATCCTAAAAAAAATTTATTACCGGAGTCGATCCATTCCTTATGTGTATAGATCTGCTTACTTATTTTAGATTAAGAAGAATTTTAATTGATCATCTAGCTTTATCGTTAACAAATGACATGATATTTACGAGTTTTGTTGTACAATAATGAATATATGATTCATGAACATGAGAACATTTCTGTTCATAATTAAATCACCGGAAGTTTTTTTTCTTCAATTTTAAGCATCAAGAAAAAAGAAAGTCAACTAGGTAAGTGTAAATTAACTTGTTACTTGTAGAAACAGTATAAAGTTTATTAAAGTGGCTGACCACTCTGAAGTAAAGCAATAATGGTGATGTGCTTTATATATAAACTTGTGAAAAGTGAGTACTCGAGGGAATATTGCAAGCAAACATGACCATGAAAGTTGGCAATAGAGAAAGTTCAAATGGTTAACAAAAATTCACTACATATGCATCTGATATTCAAGGATCTAGCAAAATGTTAATAATGAGTTTGCGCAGAACAAATCAAATAATGTTCAATTCAGACAAAGCTACAACTAATGTTTTTTACTCATCGGATAGCTGCACCGATACTGGCGGATAAACTAATTTCAACTGATCTGTGGAGAAAGTTACGTTGATAGGTGTTTTAAGAATTTAATTTTTCGTATTTGCAAACACTTTCAACAGTGACCAAGCAAAGGCGTAATTATAACGATCAAAAGTTCCCTCCTATTCCATCTAGTTAAAATGGGTCACAGCGTGAATTATTCTTTTATTAATTACATGCCAAAATCTACCAATTGGCAGAAACATCAATGAAAAAGGCTGAAACACCGGAGAATTGAATACAGAAGAAATTTCTCTTACTGTGGCTAAACCTAGGCACAATAATTCACTAGTCAACTAAACTATACTTTGAACAAAGTATACAGAAACTACCCCTCTACATTTTTGTAACTTTAGTTTAACCTAATGGAATATAATTGCTATTTTATTATTACAGATCCTGTGGAGAATATAATTAGTACTCATTTAACTTTACCGTCCGTTACTAAATTTCTGTCATTTCATACATTATATAGAATTCGACCATATATCTGGTTTTTACTTACATTATTGTTTCTCTCTCCCTATTTTACTAATGCTTAACATTATATCTTAAAATACAATAGAAATGTTTATTATTATTTACAACTCAGAAATCAAGAATAAATTTGTGTAATAGATGTTTAATACACAATTAATGCTTGAAAACTACTAAAATAATATTTGGAAAGCGCTCTCCGATATCTTATCATCATTTTGATCTTATTATACGCTTCCATATTGACTATTATTCACCTCACTCTAGTATTCGACTAGAATCAAAGTTGCATTTTACTATTTCGTACACAAAATGTGTTGTGTGATTTCTCAACTCATTCCTTCAATGGTAGTGTGATTATGGAGTAGTTACATTTAAATAGTTCATCTGGACATGTTTCATAGACATTCAAGGAATTATCATCAATGTAAAGAAAATAAAAAAAAGAATAAAGATATGGACTATAGTTGATTCGTATTCCTCGTAAACAAAAGTAGGGAAATTATAGTATATGGATATACCAATCAGAATGAAAATAGAGCCTCTCAGACGTGAGGGAAATTCAAGAGGACATGACGAATAGTTTGTATCTCACTAGAGGCTGAGTAAAGGTTCCCTATATCTAGTTCGGATGCTCAAAACCGATAAATATATCTGCTGTGCATCCACACGGTAGACACAATGTGAAAGCTTCTGACGTAGATTGCGTCTCCAATCGGACGCACTCGATGTGATGGTAAAAGTATACTATTCTAACGGTCTTGAAAAACTCACCAGCCAGTCAAGATACAGTGTTTCGTTATAAAACAATTACCAATAAAACCACAGTGAACAAATATGCTTGGTATTATTAGTAAACCTCTACGTCAGTAGGATTAAACCATGTTGACGACGTTGGGCGATTCTAGAAAGGATAATGACTCACCAATCGGAGTAAAGCCCTTGCAAATGAAATAGGCATCTCGAAACAAACGATAAGATTACAGATAATATGAAGTCAGGGAATACTAGTAGCATAACTCTACTATCTTTCAAGCAGCATAAGTCTGACCATCCTTAACTTAATTCTTCTGTAGTAACACCACTGCACTCCACAGCTTTCCTGACCATTACTTGGTGTGAATTTTTTAATAGTCAAATATTCTTCAGCTGATCGGCCATCACGTCATCCGAATTCGCTGACAGGACAAACTTCCTCATGAGATAATACCTTGAGCCAGACTATTTGTGATTCCGTCTTAAGTATTGTGCACAAGTTCGATGATCATTAACTCTATACTGAACAATTCTATTTGTTTCAAAGTCCCAAGGACAGTTTAGATATGCAACCACGTTTTACGGCACCTTCGGTTTCGCGTAAAAATTCTAGACCTATACTGGTTGTGATTAACTTACTCAAAGTCATTAGTATGGTATACTTTTACTGATGTAGCTAAGCGCATGGTCAAGGGCGTTTGTGTGATTTCCCAAGATCACGGGTGCATTATGATCTAACCTACATAGGAGAATTATTCAGGGACTACCATATATAGGGATGATTGGTGAATGCAAAAAGTACGATAGCCATCGTTCACAAGCGTTCTTGTTCTGTCAACCCTAAGACTGGAGACCACAGTAACAGTGTGGTGAAGACCGTAAAACTATCTTCAACCTTACAAAATATCTAGAGGTAAACTAAACTGGAGTCATATAGACAAACTTTTGTATGGCACCTGCGTTGATTTGCATACTGATGAATCCACTGCAAACCTTAATCAGTTTGACGGTCAAATAGGAAGTATATATATGTTCTAATTTTCGATAATAAATGATTCATTCCTGTCACCTATATTCCGACTGGAGAAAAAGTCTCTTAAGGATATCCATGCATTACAGTTCAACCTGTATAATGACTACTTACTGAAAAAACTCACCAAACACAGAGTGGTGTGATTGGTCTTGGGTTATACTTTGAGTAAAGACTAGAGTATTAACACTGCCCACTTAACCGGACTGAAGTAGGTGGGTTCGAACCTACAACCTAATGGTTGAGAGCCGGACGCTTCAACTTTAAAGCCACTGCTCAACCGCTTACTGATATGCTATATGGTCATTTACCATCAAGATTACAAAGTAAAATAGTCAGTTTAGTCTACTTTTTTGTAAAGCTGACTAATATATAGTTGCACAACTTTTAAGCAGTTTCGATGTGTAGCACAGTACCATGGACAGGAATTCATTGAGATGGTTTTATTATAAACTATCGAGAAGTGATAAATAGGGTACTGATATGAAATGAAGAAAACAACTATTCTCTACCTCGAATTTTATTTACAGAGTATGCGCTTCAAATAGAATTAAAACACTAGATGTGATATATATATGAGCTTTTTGGTAGTTTTCGGGTATATATAAAATAGTATTAGAAATAAAATTTTGAAGTGAACTCATTATCAAATATTCAATATAATCACAGTTACAACAGAAAACTGATGAACAGGTCTACACACTAAATATATATATATATATATATATATATATATATATATATATATATTCCAAGTAAGTAGAGTATTATGAAAGGAGCCTGAAGTATGACAATAGTTAAGAACGTTTACGATTGTGATGGCGCAATGATTCTCCTGACGTAGAAGGACTTGGATTACGTTGATTACGAGATCCAGAAGAATTTAGTGAGTAGTTGGAAACACATTCATCTCCAGATAAATACGGTGTACTTGATCGGCTTGCACTTACTATCTGCTTAGCTTCTGATCTATCACTTTCTAAACAGCCATTGTTGGAGGATTTTGAACACGGTAAGTTGGAAGACGGATTATTCATTGGACCCCCATTAACTCCATTAGAGTTGGAATGAGTCGCTTCCTCAATTTCTAACTGTTTACACACTGATGTTGTACTATTGCTAGATGATTGAATTGAGGACATTTTTATTCCAGCTACACCCTTCTTTTCACAAGTTAGCAAGTCCCGTTTAATTCGACGCAAACGACCAGAACGATCTTTCCGGATCTTCAAAAACAAGAATGCATTACAAGCATAGTAAAAAATGGCAACTGAGACATTCGAGAAACTAAATGTAAGGCGAATGAAATGTAACATACAAAATGTATCAAATGTATTTTTAAAACATGTAAATAAACTAGCGAAATGCTTTTCTTTTTAAAAAACCTATGAGCAGCTTGGCTGCATCGACCACATAATCACCATTCTTCAGATTTTAGAACACAGATATGCTTATCGTATCCGACAATGGTGGTCTTTCTTCACGTAAAAGCAGCATTTCACTCTGAAGACCACGAAGTTCTGTAGCAGTGTCTGTCATTGAAAAGTGTACCTCACAAGTAAATAAACCCTGGGAGGGCTCTTTACTAGATCACTACCACTCGAGTTAGAGCTTATGGCGAATTGTCATTTGGTTTTTCAACATCAATTGGTGTCCGACAAGGCTGTTCACTATCTCCATTTCTATTGAATTCCATAATAGACCTACTGATGGAAATAACGTTCTCGTCGTCCGAATTTTCAGGAATTGATCTCCTACATGGAGGTCTACTTATCAACTTAGAATACGCAGATGATGAAGTCCTGTTTGGTGAAGATGCTGATAAAATAGAGTCTTTTGATAGCACTGAGCAACAATGCCAGGATGTTTGGGATACGCTTCTCTCTCTCTAAATACAAGTTGTTGCCTAAAGACTGGCCTGCGTCAACACCTGAACTAAGGATAGGGAGTGAA